GCCTATTTCCTGCCTTTTTAGACTGTCTACTAGCTCTTGGATAGCGAAAATGCCTTTTTCCTTTCTTAAATTCTTAATCATTGCGACACGACAATTAGCCAGAAATTAATTAATTTCCATTCACTAGTATTTTTAAAAAAAAATCTTAACAGACGGTCTCTCTCAGATAAGAACTCCACAAAATACATCCATCAAGAATTCCAAGTCCCACCCACTACCATAAATTTCTTCAACCAAGTCTTACCGACTGATATAATTCAAAGCCCCTACTGCCGCTAAGAATTTTCGGACACCCTACACTTCTGAGTCAGACACGAAGAGAACACACTGCCAACTCCCCCACTAGAAAGAATGTAAGTTACTCAATACCTTTCTGGCCTTTATATCTTCATGTACATTCACTGATCTTATTATATTATTTTCTATTTTTTTATATTATTTTTTATATATTTTTATGTTCTCTTTGATTTGTTTTTTGCAAAGTTTGCATTATTTATCTTTTTTATAATCTTCTATGTTTATTTCAACTTTACTTTGATTTCGATTTCATAATGACAATTTCCAATGTTTAATTTCTACAAATAATATAGTACTCAAATACATAAAGATGATAGTGTCGGGGACGATTACTCGAGTTTTACAAGATTTCTCTACAGTAATTGATTTTTACTCCAAATTGAATTGACTAAAATGCTTCATGAGAATCAGTTTCTTTGAGTAACAACTATTCGCGGAATATTTGGCCTGACTAGAATTGCCGGTTTGGCTTTAACTTATAACTCGAGTAAAGACGAAACACTTTCATATTTACGTATTTTTATCAATTATTGATCATTGAACGGGAGTTGGTTTGTTCCCCTTGAAAAGTCAACTAATTTCCGATCAATGACAATAATTACATGTTTTAATTTTTACTTTTACAATTGTAATATTATTCCTCGTGATGATTTAACTCCAGTCCCCGTTAAAACATTATTAACATTTTGCTTTCAAATTACTTCAAAACATCTTTCAAAATATAACTTTACCAGTATGGATGCACACTTTTAAAATAATTCTACTTTAATTAAACTTAAAAGATAATATAATCAATTAATCAATACTGTTTAGGAAATAAATTATTATTAACTAACTTTGCAGCAATTGCGCAAGTAATAATAACTTGTATTCGCACTAAATGGATTTAAGTTCATACAACATATATATATATATATATATATGTCATAATAAAAGCACAAGGAAAAGACGGAACACTGTAGATGCTTGATTAGACCATTACTGAAGAAGAATTTGATTGCGTAGTATGCTAGTAATGCTAACTCGGTAACATCTTGGCAGTCGAGGCAGTTTTAATTCCATTTTTATTTCCAATTGATATTTGTGGCCACAATCACTTGGCACTCTAGTCGTGCCTTTCCACAGAAGATTTACATTTTTGATATTGTTGAGCTAGAAAGCAAGCCAGCGAAATTACATCTTAGCACAGCACAGAGCAAAAGCTGAAGTGCGTAGTTATGCAAGATGGAGGCACGCGAGGAGAAAAGTTTTGGTTTACAAGGACAGTTTCAGTTCCCAATGATTACGTCATCAGAGCTGCGCCGATCATAGAGTCATCTAGAAATGACGCAATGCAAAGAAGTTATTACGATTTTAGAATAGAGAGGAAGAATTAATGTTTTATAGTTTAATCTATAATTTTGATTCATATATTTTATCTTACATATATATATATATATATATATATATAATATTTCATATGTATTGCTGAGGAACTGCGTTCTTCACCCAACCAAGATGCTAAGAAATAATGAGTTAGAAACTTTGACAACATGTCTAGATTCAGTCATCCTCTTTATACAACTTCTACTTACAAGCAAAATCATCACAGTTTACTGGATAAAAATGCCAAAAAAAAATGTGTTCTTCATTAAACTTCTTATGCAAATGATAATGCCAATAAGGTGCCCCAAAATGTGGTATTTTATATCTCTACGAAGTATGACATCGACGTAGTAGATCCAATAGCTGAAATAGTTTCATCGGAGTTTTGAAATAGCTAGTAATCGTGGGGAAACTACGAGTGAAAAAAAAGATAAGTAATTATCCATTTATATAATCGGAATAAATCACTGAAAGAAATTGGGGAAATAGTGAATATAATTTGAGACAAAGTAAGAACTGTAACAAGAAATTTTAACTTATCTGATAGTGTGGTAAATGCACCAAGAAGTGGCCACTTAAAGAGGCTGACTCGTAGAGAGAAGAGAAAAATTGTCACTATTGTCAAAGTGAATTCCAAAATTTCTTCAAGAGATATCCTAACAATATTCAAAGAAGAATTTTACAAAGCAATTTATCAAAAGCTATCCACAGAATTCTTTATTGGACCGGTTACAAATCTAGTGTAGCAAGAAAAAAAAAAAAAAAACATTCGTCTGGTACACTAATCGAAAGGAAAAGGAATACACCCTTTAGTAAGGTAGCATTTGAATAAAGATACTGCATACTGGTCGAAGGTATTATTAATCGCTTAATTAATTAATTAAATTCTTATTAATTCGTTTCAATGGATGGGATTTAGTTTGGAGACAACCGAAAACTGAGCGTCGAGAAAAGCATGCTCAAGCAACAGTAAAACACGAGGGGAAACTGTGATAGTATGGGGTAGGATATCGGCTGTAGGTGTCGGAAATCTTGAGCTCACTAATGGCACAATGGACAGTCATGTATCTGTGTGAATATCCTTAAACGTAATCTTCAACAAAGCGCCCGCAAGCTTCATTTATGCAACAACTTCTGCTTCCAACAGGACAATAATCCCAACACAATATGGCACGTATTTACCTTCTGTGGTTGTTCTCTCATACGCTGCACACTCTAGGTCATTCGGCGCAATCCCCTCACTTAAATCACATCGACGATTTAGGGAAAGAGCTTAACAGCAAGTAAGGAAACATGATATACTGAATGTGGATCACTTAAAAAGACTTCTCCCAGAAGAAGGAGATAACATTTCTTCTGAAACAAAGAAAATATTGGTGAATTCCATGCCAAATAAACTCAAGCCTGTTATCAAAAATAGAGGTGTTTAATATAAAATGCGATGAGTTACGAGAGATAATTGGCGCTGGTTCCAAAATAAAACGAAGTTAGGCCACACAAATATTTAATTATTTACATAATGTGCAAGGTTACAAGTTAGGTGCTCCATTAGCACAGACAAAGTGGAACGAACGAACGCACCATAGGTCCGCTGCATACCTTCTTCAACAACCAACTCCACTAAATTTGGCTCCTCTCACAAGAGGGCGCTATATTAAACCGAACATTCAGGCCCCCGTTGAAACATGTTTCAATAATGCCATAAAAGTTTTACAATCAAATTCAAATTTAGACATACATATGAAATACAATGAAATGCAATTTAACACTAATTATTTCAATTACAATTGACTTCAATATCATATAATATAAAAAATAAAAATATTATACTTGCAATACAAATACATACAAATTATACACATACAAATATTATGCTTGCACGAAATGAATAATGTAATAATGTGCATTCATAATATAAAAATTTTATATTTGATAGTTGTCTGGTATGGACAAAATACTTAATTTTGCGACAGGCCTTTTAAAGAGACCCCCTTTGCCGTGCGTACACTAACTACTATAACTCTTTTATAAAATCCGGGTATAATTTCTTCAACTCAACCTAAAAATATAGGCAAATTGGTTTCCTTCACGAGCACCATAGTTCCTGATTTAACGTTATCTTTTTTAAACTGCCATTTCGTTCGCTCATGAAGTTGCGATAAATAATCCCGTTGCCACCTTTTCCAAATATTTTGAGTCATTTTGGTGATTCTTTCCCATCTGGACAATCTGTTGTCAGACTTATTTATAATTTCTGCTTTACAGGGGCTGTTATAGAACGTCCAATTAAAAAATGTCCAGGTGTTAACGCATTAAAATCCATTGCATCTGAAGAGAGAGGAGAAATTGGTTTGGAGTTTAATATTCCCTCTATTTGTGTTACTAAAGTTAAAAATTCATCCATAGTTAATTTTGAATTCCTAACCGTTTTTTTAAAATGCGTTTTGAACGATTTAACGCCTGCCTCCCAAAGAGCACCGAAATGTGGAGCCCTAGGGGGTATAAATTTCCACTCAATCTTCTTCTGACAACAGATAGTCGGATAATCCTTGTTCTGGTACTTTGGCTAATTTAAACAGCTTGCTTAATCGTTTCGAGCTCCACGAAAGTTTGTAGCGTTATCGCTAAATATGGTTGAGCTTTTCCCTCTCCTAGCGAAAAATCCCTTTAGGGTAGCAATTAATGCTTCCGAAGATAAGTCTGAGACAATTTCTAAGTGAATTGCTTTCGTAGCAAGGCACACAAATACTGCAACCTACATTTTTTGAAAAGCTTTTATTCTTTGATTTTTTGCCTTTATAAGAAACGGACCACAAAAATCGAGTCCACATTTGTTAAAGTGTGTGTGTGTGTGATTATGGCAAAGCCTCGAGGGCTATCTGCCTAAAGGGAGGGATGCCTTTCGTGGAGGACTTTCTAAGGGAAACTGGCTCGTATACACGTTACACATGGGGAAAACCACGAAAACGCCCATGCAGCCAGCCCGTTCGCGGGATTCGAACCTCGGACCGAACTACCAGTGTTCAGCGACTTTACCGCTCGCCCGCTGGTGGGCCCTCTCCACATTTGTTAAAGGTTGATTCAACTGACACTCGTTCAGCAGGCATATCATCCATTATCTGATTTACTGGTACAGGTCTGTGTTTAAAACACTGTACGCATTCATGTACTATTTTTCTAGCAAGATTCCTGCCACTGATGGGCCAAAACGTTTGTCTAACAGTAAATAGATCTTCTGGTCCAAGATGCAAATATTTCAGATGATAATAGTACATGATCAAATAAGTCAACCTATGTCTAGCTGGCAAAATGATTGGATATTTACAATCATAACTTACCTGAGATTGCGCAAGTCTGCTACCGACGCGCAAGATTCCATCATCATCGATGAAGGGATTTAACGACTTAAACTTGCTCCTACCAGGTACTTGGCTATCCCTCTTAAGTGACTCAATATCAGAACAAAACTCACCTTTCTGCACTTCCCGAATCAATGTTAACTCGGCCCCTTTCCGTTCCTCTAAGGATATAGGCCCTGAAACCCTTTCCTTATTCTTAATGATTCTGAAGAACCTAAAAATAAAACTACAAATTTTGATTAATTTCATATAATTATTTGTTCGATTTAAGAGAGAGGTTAAACTAGAATTATTTTCTAATATTGCAAAATTAGAGTCTGATAAACATTTCAGTTCCTTGACATAGTCCTTGTCAGTGCTAGGTTCAAGAGATTGTTCTGGATAATGCATGTCCTCACAGAGAAGGTCTGGTCCATTCCACCAGATATCACATGTAAGAATGTCGTTTGCATCCAGTCCACGTGATATGACATCAGCTGGGTTACATTCAGATGGCACATATTTCCATTGGTATGACCCCGTAAGCTCTTGTATTAAAGCGACTCTGTTAGTCACGAAAGCTTTTAGTAAGTGTGGTGATTTTCTAATCCAAGCAAGAGAAATAGTAGAATCAGACCAAATAATTACTTTTTCTACTTTAACATTCAACGAAGATATCACTTTATCCATCAATCTGGATAATAGAACGCAACCTGACAGTTCCAATCTAGGAATTGATAAGGTTTCTATAGGTGCAACTCGTGACTTGCTACACAAAAGTCGAACGGTGGGCAATCCCGAAACTGGCAAAGCTTGAACATAGATTGCAGCTCCGTATGCCGAAGATGACGCATCTGCAAATCCATGGAGCACTATGTGATTTTCCTGGAATACAAATCTAGGAATCTTAAGATTACTTAGTTCAGAGAGCGTGGATACGAAATTAATCCACTCCTTGGCCATATAATCTAGCAATGTGTCATTCCAATCGAGTTTAACAAGCCAGAGTCTTTGCATGAATATTTTGGCCTTTGTGACCACTGGCCCAATTAAACCAAAGGGATCGAACATTTTCGAAATTAGTGACAGAACATCTCGTTTACTATAACTGTTAGAGTGAGGAATGGTCATTGTAAACAAAAAACAGTCAGTCTGAGTATTCCATAAGACACCAAGAGTTTTTACGGACGCAGATTCTTGTTGCTCTGCAAAAGTGTATTCTGAATGAGCGGTAATCTTATTTTCAGACATGAGCAGATCTGGATGATTTGCACGCCATTTATGCAATTCCATTTTACCTAATTTGAACAAAATCTATTAATTGGGATTGTAGAATTCTAGCCTTTTCGAGTGATGATTCTCCGGAAAGTATGTCGTCGACATAGTAAGAGCGGCGGACGATGCTAGAGGTAAGTTTTGGCTTTCATCTATAGCTAACTGTTTAAGAGCTCGAGTTCCTAGATAGGGAGCGTTTGACGTCCCATACGTTACTTTGTTGAGCTTATAAGTTTGCACTGGTGCATCAACACTGTCTTTCCATAGAATTCTGAGCAAGTCTCAGAATGCAGGATGTACTAGAATCTGTCGATACATTTTTTGTACATCTGCTGTGAAGGCGTAGCGGTGTTTCCTAAATCTAACCATTATAGAAAATAATTCCTGCTGTGGAATTATTCCCTTCAACAAAATATCGTTTAATGACAATCCCGATGTCGTGGCAGTTGAGACGTTGAAAAACCACTCTTAAACGTGTACTACTTTTGTCTGGTCTGTAAACCCCATGGTGAGGCAGGTAGTACGAATCAGTTATGGATTCAGATCCCTCAGCTAGTTTCATATGCTTTAAATCCTTGTATTCTTGCATGAATTCAGAATACAATCGTTGTAAATTCGAGTCCCGACCCAATCGTTCCCAAACCTGATTAAGTCTTTTCTCTGCTAAATATCTAGACTCGCTCAACAATTCAGAGTCCTTCATGAGCATGCATACGACGTACTCACCTTCCGAGGTTCGATAATGAGTTTCATTAAAATGTTTTTCGCAATATTTCTCTTCAGGACTAAGTGCTGAATCCGGAAAATTAATATTTTCTACCTCCCAAAATTTTTGCAACGTTTCTTCAATTTTTTCATTTTGCGTAAGCAGACCACAGTATCGTGATTCAAGTGGTGAATTTTGCACAATACCACTAACTACGAATCCAAAAACCGTTTCCTGGAACAATAAGTCTTGTCGCGCTGCGAACTTGACCCGATTTTAATAAGTCAGAGAAACCTTCTGCACCCAGTAATAAATCAGTTTCCAATAATAAACAGTTTCCTCAGGTGTGTTAAATCTGTTATCAGCTAAAGAAATATCCCTGGGGATGTCAATATTTTCAATAGGTATGGGGGTAAGGGGAGTCATTTCTGTAATTTTGGGAACAATAAAAAAATCAAGTTCTCTAGAGAATGTTTTTTCCCTATTGGCAATTGAAGTCCTCAATTTATAATTTAAAGTAATATCAGTTCCATTTAATCCTGAAGTCGGAGCGAAAAACTTCGTTTTTTTAATCCCTAATTGTTTTGCAAAATGAGCAGACACGCAGTTAATCTGTGAACAGCTGTCAAGAAGAGCCCTTCCTTTGATGAATGTCCCCTTCGAAGTTTTCATCATAACAATCGCAGTTGGCAAGATAACGCTTTTATTCGTGGCTAATAAACAATTTGAAAGACTCGTCGCTTTGCCATTAGGCGCCGGAGAAATATCCTTCCCCCCAGCTGTCTTCTGCTCTATCGTCTGCGGATATTTATTTGAAACAGAATCCGAATTCGATGACTCATTCTTATGAAGCAATGTATGATGTATTGCAAAAATGATTCGATCGACATTGCGAAGCAATGTGCTTTTTTACCAAACAGTTTAGACATAAGTTATTTCGTTTTACTAGCGTAAATCTTTCACCAAAATTCATATCAAGGAATTTACTACATTTAAAAAGGGAATGTGGCGAATTACATATAACGCAGGTTCTTTCCGAATTATTTGAATGAACAAGAAGGTTTTTTGGTTTTATTTCATTCGTTTGTTTTGATTTTATTGTGTTTTGTTTTTATATTTTCCAAAGTTTGACATCTTTTTCCTAAGAATGTCATCAAGTTATCGAAATTAGGAACATCTGAAGCGTTTACCGATAATTCGAATTGTTTTCGAGTTGCCTTGTTTATTTTGTCTAAAATGACAGTAGTAATTAAAATATCAGAGAAGTTCGAAACCCAAATTATTTAAAGCTCTAATGTTTTTATTCACAGCATCTACTAGACGCCTTAATTTCTTCGAATTCTAAAATAGCTTTAACGTGAATGTTAACAAGAATTCTCTTGTTTTCGAAGCGATTTTCTAAAGCCCTACATAATGATTCAAAAGTATCTTCCTGAGTTTACAACAATTTTGCTTCTCCCTTAAGAGTGGCATGCAGATAATGTAGCTTTTGTGCATCTGTTAATTGAGTATTCGAGGTAACAATATTATTAAATTCAATTTTTTAAACATGCTCCATTCTTCATACTTTCCGCTAAATTGCTAAATTGCGGAAGTGGAATTTCAGGTAACTTTATTTTACAACTACTCTTTGCGATATCAACCTTATTAATATACCAACATTATCAATTAACATTTGATTGAAACTTACCTTCTAGATCGTCGATTCTTGCTTCTAGATCTAATAATTCCTCTTCTAATTCAGAAGTATCATCCTTTTCAGGCACAGCAATATAATATTCCGATCGAAGTGTGTCCAATGCAACAGACATCTTTTCCAAGGCCTTGAGCTTGGCATCTATTATGATTTTAGTCCATGTGCTGGTACTATCCGTTATGACAGTCTCTATTCTAGTTAGCTGGGCTTTCAGTGAGCCCTTCTTTTGATTTAAAGCAACTATAGTGGCCATTCTATACTAATACGAACTTAGTTAACAAAAACAAAACAACTCCGCGAGCGGACCATAAATTTTTGTTTGATATAAAATTCGATGAGTTACGAGAGATAATTGGCGCTGGTTCCAAAATAAAACGAAGTTAAGCCACACAAATATTTAATTATTTACATAATGTGCAAGGTTATAAGTTAGGTGCTCCATTAGCACAGACAAAGTGGAACGAACGAACGCACCATAGGTCCGCTGCATACCTTCTTCAACAACCAACTCCACTAAATTTGGCTCCTCTCACAAGAGGGCGCTGATCCTAGAGGGCGCTATATTAAACCGAATAAGAGGATTCATCAAAAAATTATTGACTATATTTTATTCTGATATTTCCGTCACTGACTTTTCTTTTGTACTTTATTTCGATAGCCTGAAATGTTCTATTTATTTTTGTATCTTCATTAAGTTTATTTTAGCATTTTGCAACTCTCTTTATCATATTCCAAAGATTATGTAAATGATACATATTTTAATAAAATTAAAAAATTTTACAATTCTTTCCACATTTCCTGAGAAACTGCAAAGTGTGTCTTCACTTATGTCTATCACTTCATACCTGTATCCTTGGCACCATAAACACCTTTTGTTGATGCTCGAAAATATATTCTACTGACACTGATTTCTGGTACTGACGAGCCTTCTAACGAGGTGCTTTTGTTTGGGGAGCAAACTGGATGGTGGTTTGTGGCGACCGTGCTATGGACTTAGATGACTACTTGGACGAAGTTCTGATATGAGCATTCTGATATTATGCACTTATCGATCAAGGAAGGATTAAGTTATCGAACTAGCTATAGGAAGATGTCGACGTTACGAAGACAATTTTTGAATATCCATGTCGAGAGACATCAAACATTATGTATATTTGAAAAACGGCGTGAGATTGCGTTAATAAAAATCTCTAAAAGTTAATATATCAAAATATCTCAAAATATCTCATTGTGCTACAGAGATGACGGCGAGAACTGTCAAAGGTATAATTGCTTTTGCATCTTGGCAATTTGTCGGCGTCGCTGAAACGTCATGATATGACCGCTATTAGACGTGGTCGTTTTAGCATTTTTTTTAGTTCATCAGCATTACTTTTAGAATGAAAAGAGACTAAATCTGCCCTTTCAAGAATCTGAAGTCCGCATAAGATTGACTTTGCAATGTTTCTGGCAGTTACTCTAAACTCTGGAACTGTTCCACAACAAAAGCAGTTTCAAAGCCTTAACATCCTAACACAACCTATTTCGAAGCAGATTCGTGTGGATCGTTGACCGCTGTTGCAAATTATATCTCATTAGTAAAGACCAAGGGCTAGCTGGACGTTATGTCATATGAGTATGGATTAACACAACTGCAAATAGTGCCACTGCAAGTCCTTAAACCTTCAGCGGTTGCGAATTTAAGCAGTTCTTTCTTTCCAAATACACGCATTGTCTGTGAATCTTAGATTTATACTCTGCTGTTTGTGCCTACTGCGGTGCGTAACTGAAATGGGAGGTGAGCTGGCTGATGACTATCAAAAGTTTAACAGGTGGCTTTCTGCGATTCAGTTCTTTACTGTAAATCGTATCATAATTGTTCAGATGAATATATTTTTGTTTATTTTGGTATCAGATGGCCTCGGATGGCGAAAAACGGCAGGACTGATGTCGTAAGTAGTTTTCATAATCCTTCTGATTTGACAATATGTCGTTTCCTTAGCAATCCAAAAAGTATATTGTGCGTCTCCGAATTTCTCGAAGACAGTGCCTTCAGTATCCTTGAACTGCTATGTTTATATGTACTAAACGATATATCAGTTGGATAATCGTCTTTTACAGTCTAATTATGCAGTTCTCTGAATTGTGCTATGTGTTAATGTAAAATAATACCTTATACAGGGATTCACGCCGTGGAATATACTATCCGAGTAGCCCTTATCATCTGCCTTTTTTTATGTTATTATATACCCTTTTTAGACAGCTCCTCAGTCGTCCTATAAATGGTCTTGCTTGTTGCGGTCTTTGCGTGTGTTTGCGTAATGTTTTTTTAAATTTTACTGAAGGTTTGAAATTCATTGTTTTTTCTCTTTGTTTTGGTAATAATGGTCAAATGATTCACTTGTTGAAGCCTTTGATTTAATGTTGTAATTATTTTGTTATTGGGTATTAAATTCAATGTTTTTATAAAAAATATTTCGAATAATTTGAATTTAATGCTTGGTGTGAACCATTCAGTGCTTTTTTAGATTATTTTATTCAGAGCTGAATGCTGTGCTGTGATTCGATGGCTTTTACCGACAGACCAAATTTTATTCAGAGCTGAATGCTGCACTATGATTCGATGACTTTTACCGA